CCAGTGCTGGGAGCCCCAAGGGCTGCCCTTGGCTTCCTGCCCCCGTCCTCGGGCTGCCTGTGCTCTCCAGTGACCTACGTCCCCACGCCAGGATGCTCCGGAAAGACAAGGAGGAGGCCGAAGCCATCAAGCATGCAAAGGCCCTGGAGGAGGAGAAGGCCATGTACTCGGTGAGCGTGGGGCCGGTCGGGGGGTGGGCTGAGTGAGGGCGTGTGCCTGGCCCGGCCCCCTCAACAGCCGGGCACCCCTCTAGGGCCGTCGCTCCCGGCGCCAGCGGAGGGAGTTTCGCGAGAAGAGGCTTCGTGGACGCAAGATCAGCCCCCCCAGGTGGGACCCCAGGGCCAGACTTGGTTGATAGGATGGGGGCTGGCTGGGATGAGGGCACCCTTCCTGCAGATAGCACCCCCTGTGGGGCTCCTCAAGAAAAACTGAGCGGCGGGAGGGACCGGGAGGGCATGTGCTTGCCCTGTGCGGGCGGGCACCCACGGGACCTCCTGCTCCTGCTCCTCCCGCTTCCTTCCATCCGGGACTCGGTCCAGCTACGGACGGACCTGGTGGGCCTGTGGGACGCCTCGGGGGTGCCACTGCTCTGGGCCCCTGCTCCCCTGCCCCCATCGATAGGTTGTTCACGTTGTGGGTGACGGCGGCTCTGTGACCCCTGAGCTGGTGGATGTGGTGGCCCAGCCTGGGTTCCACGCTGTAGACCATCCATGTGCCCTGTGCCTGGCTTTCTTGCTGGGGCATGTGGCTGCACAGGGCCAGGCGGGGCCCCCCACCCATGCTGGCGTCCGGCCCGTGCATCTCCTCGAGGGCCGTGCCTAGCTCCGAGCCTGCCCCGTCTCCAGCCCTCACCCTGCTCCTGTCCCGTCTCCCGCAGCTATGCCCGCCGGGACAGTCCCACCTACGACCCGTACAAGAGGTGAGTCCAGGGGCGTTGCGCCTCCCTCCCGGCCGAGCCACCCCCCCTCCCGCAGGGAACCTGACTGGCCTCCTCTTGCGTGCCCAGCAGGTCACCCTCCGAGTCCAGCTCCGAGTCCCGCTCGCGTTCACGCTCCCCCACCCCGGGCCGCGAGGAGAAGATCACCTTCATCACCAGTTTTGGGGGCAGTGATGAGGAGGCTGCTGCCGCCGCTGCTGCCGCCGCCGCATCAGGGGCCACCGCAGGGAAGCCCCCTGCACCCCCCCAGCCCGGCGGGCCCGCACTGGGACGTAATGCCAGCGCCCGGTCGGTAACGCTCACGCCGCCCGCCCTATGCCCGGCCGTCGAGGGGTTGACCCCGGGGCAGGGGGGCCCGCGGGCCTGGCCCGCGCTGACTGACGGACCCTCCGTGCCCCGCCTGCAGCCGCCGCTCCTCCTCCTCTTCCTCGTCCTCCTCCTCTGCCTCGAGGACCTCCAGCTCCCGCTCCAGTTCCCGCTCCAGCTCCCGCTCCCGCCGCGGCGGGGCTTACTACCGCACTGGCCGCCATGGCCGCTCCCGCTCCCGCTCCTGGTCGCGCTCGCGCTCGCGCTCCCGCCGCTACTCGCGCTCCCGCAGCCGTGGACGGCGGCCCTCGGGGTGTGGGTCTCGGGACGGCCACCGCTACTCCCGCTCCCCGGCCCGGCGCGGGGGTCATGGACCCCGCCGCAGGAGCAGGTGCGTTGGGGGGGACCCAGCCCCGGGAGGTACAGGGGCTGCCACTGAGAAAGGCCCCACGAGGTGGCAGGTGGGGGTGCCCTGCTGCTCTCAGGGTTGGGAACTGGAACTCCCGTCCCAGGGGCTTCCCAAGGCAGGAGTCCCTGTGCTGTGGTGCGCAGGGTGGGTGGGGAACAGCTCCCTGACACCCCGGCGCGACTCAGCCTGGTGGGGGCTGCTAGGGGGCTCCCTTGCCCACTTTCTCCTGAGGGTTTTTGTCCTTTTTCTCCACTTGTCTTGAATTTGGGGCCGCGCTGGTGGTGCTCAGGGCTTGCTCCTTGCTCTGCTCTCAGGAGTGGCCCTCTGGTGGTCCTCGGGATTGGACTGGTGTTGGCCGTGCGCCAGCCTTCACCCTGTGGGACCCTCCCCCCCGCCACCCCCCCCCCCCCCGCCACCCCCCCCCGGGAGGTTTTTGAAGGCCCCATCTGGTTTGCTCACTGCTGGAGTCTGAAACTCTTGGGCAGCCCAGCGGTCAGCGTGGCCACTCGTTCTAGCTCCAGGTCATTTCCGGCAGCCTGAGCGTGTGGACAGGAAAGGGCTATGGGGGGGTATCGTCGGGCAAACCTCAGATGTTCACCCGAGGGCGCCCCTAGGACAGTCCCTCCACCCTCATCCTGTTTGTCCCCGGACTGATCTGTGGGTCTGCTGCAGGCGGGGCGGGGGCAGACCCCGGCAGGCGAGCTGGAGGGGCAGGTTTGGGCCCTGTGTGGAAAAGGGGTGCTGGCCAGAGGGCGTCTAGCGTGGGCAGCGTGAAGCCACCCCCCCCCCCCCCCCCGGCTGCTGTGGTCAGAGGGGAACCAGTGTGTAGGGCAGGGGGGACAGCAGCCAGGCAGGGGGGAGCCAGAGGTGGCCCCGGAGCCTCACACCCGCTCCCCCCACCCCAGGAGCCGCTCTCGCTCAGGGGACCGGTACCGGCGGGGTGGCCGTTGTCCCCGGCCCCACAGCAGCAGCCGGAGCCGGAGCAGCTGGTCCCTGAGCCCGTCCCGCAGCCGCAGCCTGTCCCGCAGCCGCAGCCCCAGCCAGAGCCGCAGCCCTTCCCGCAGCCGCAGCCCCTCCCGCAGCCCCACCTGCAGCCCCTCGCCGTCGCCCCCGAGGGAGAAGCTGGCCAGGCCGGCAGCGTCCCCCGCCGTGGGCGAGAAGCTGAAAAAGTGAGGGAGTGTGTGACCAGGGCTGGGGGCCGGGGCACACCCCTGGGGCTGATGGGGGCCACAGCCCTGCCTGACCACGCTTCTGCCCCCGCCCCAGGAACGACCCTGCCGCTGGTAAAGAGACAGGAGCTGCCAAAGTCAGTAAGAATTCGGACTCGCCCGTCTAAGTCCCACAGCAGCGGCAGTGCCCGAGAGCAGGGCCCGGCGGGCCTGCAGGGGGGCCGGGAGGGTTCTGCCCCGTGAGAGCCCCGCCCCTCCACGCTGGCCCCTGGGGCTTTAGCCCTGGGCACCCACCCCCACTCCCCAGCGGGCATCCCAGGCTCTGGGTGAGGCGGGTGCAGGGGCTCGGACACCCACCCCCGTTCCTGCCTCTTCCCCTCCCCAGCCCAAGCTGACGCCCCAGGAGAAGCTGAAGCTGAGGATGCAGAAAGCCCTCAACAGGCAGTGTAGGTGCCCGCAGCTTGCTGGGGTGGGGGGTAGCTTTGGGGCATGAGGCTCCTGAGGGCACCCCTCAGCCGTGTGTTCCCCCCAGTCAAGGCGGATAAAAAGGCGGCTCAGGAGAAGATGATTCAGCAGGAGCATGAGCGCCAGGTGAGGGCCCTGGGCGGGAGCCTGGCGGGAGAAGGGGGCTCAGAGAGGCGCGACAGCCCCTCATTCCCCCTGTCCTAGGAGCGGGAAGACGAGCTCCGCGCCATGGCCCGCAAGATCCGGATGAAGTAAGACCCCTGCCCCCAGAGTCCTGCCAAGTCCTTCCCTTGTCCCTAATACCTACGAGATGCCCCCCCTCCCCCCACACACACCCCTGCAGAGGCCTCTGACCAGCCTGCCAAGGCCGCACCCCAGCTCTGCCCTTGGTTTCCTGCAGGGTGCTCACCCCACCCCTGCCTGGCCAGGCTGTCCTGCCTCGCTCCTGCGGCTCCAGCTCAGGACCTGGCTGCTCTGCCTTGGGTTTTTGTCATTGAACATGGTGAAGTTATATTAAAGTGAAACCATTTTCTCTGAAAAAGTCAGAAAAAAGCTGCAAGCATCAGTTCTAGCATGGAGGTGGGGAGTTCCGGGCAGCTGCTTCCGGCCTCTGGGAGGCCTGGGGGAAGTGGGGGGGCAGGTGTGGGGAGGCTGAGCCAGGCCTCCTGCCTGCAGCCCGGCCCCCGCTTCTGACCAGTAGCCTATGTTGTTCTGTGCCCTGGCCAGCCTGGGCACGTTGGGCCCACTTCCTGGCACACTGGCCCTTGGCCCTGCAGATCCCAGTCCAGCCAGTCCCACACTGGGGATGGTGGCCTTGTGCGGAGCCTGTGTGCTCACCCCTGGGTGCCCCCTACCCTGCAGGGAGCGGGAGCGCCGTGAGAAGGAGCGAGAAGAGTGGGAGCGTCAGTACAGCCGCCAGAGCCGCTCGCCCTCCCCCCGCTACAGTGAGTGCGGGGGTGGGGTGTGTACAGAGCCAGGGGACCCCCAGGGGCACCCCAACCCCCCCTCACCTGCCTCCTTCCTTTCCAGGTCGGGAGTACAGCTCTTCCCGGAGGTGAGTGAGCTGGGGACACCCTCTCCCTCGCTGCACCCCTCGCCTGCCTGCGGCTTCACAAATCCCTCCCCTTCTCTCCTCAGGCGCTCGAGGTCCCGGTCCCGCAGCCCCCATTATCGACACTGAGCAGAAGAGGGGGGCCGGGGAGGCCGGGGAGCAGGGCCGAGGGCCGAGGCTGTGAGGCTGCGAGGGTTCCCAGTGAAATAAAGACTATTTAATTCCCACCCTGCCTTGTGTCTGCTACCTGTGGGGACAGGCCCGTGCCCCTCAGCGGGGCCTCGGCGGGAGTCCCGCCTGCCCGCGTGGGTGTCCAGGGCGGCCAGCGGGGCAGGGCCGGTGGGAAAGGGCCCGGTGCCCAGCCGCCAAGGCCGGGCCAGGACTTTGCCCAGGGCCTCTGGTGACAGGCCCAGGCCTCTGCCCGGCCTCGCCCTGGCCGGGAACCGGGAGCGCGGCTTTCTGTGCCAGTCCTGTGGCGCCGCGGGCTGGCCTCCCCTCACCCCTCACCCCAAACCGGTCTGCCCAGCCTCCCCCCACCCCGACACCCCAAGAAAGCCAGAGTGCAAATGCAGGTAGTCAGGGGGAGGTTTTACTGGGGCGGGGGGGATGGACAGGGTTTCACATCAGGGCGCCCGGGGTGGGAGGAGGGGCGCGGCCTGCAGCTCAGGCTTCCCCAGCCACCTCGGGGTGCTTCTGCCGCAGGTGCTTGTCCAGAGTGGCGCGCAGGCCGAAGGGCACGAGGCAGTGCGGGCAGGGGAAGCGCGGGCCGTCGGCGCCCAGGCCGTGCATGCGGCGGTGCCGGTTGAGCTTGCTGCTCTGCGCGCAGGCATAGGGGCAGAGCTCGCAGGCGTAGGGCCGCTCGCCGGTGTGCGAGCGTCGGTGCACGGTCAGGTTGCTGCTGTTGGTGAAGTGCTTCCCGCAGAATTCGCAGCTGCCGCCCGGCCCGCGGCTCTTGCCCCCGGCCTTGGGCGCCTTCTTGGGGGATGGCTTCTGGGGCTTGGCAGGGTCCATGTGCTGTTCCTGGGGGGCAGTGCTCCAGGCATCCCCGCTGGGGCCTGCCTGAGCCCCCAGCCCAGGTGCCCCGGGTTCCTGGATCCCTGCCGTGGCAGCTGCCCCGGCCCCTTCCCCGCCATGGGGCTGGAGGGCACTGGCCGGGGCAGCGGCGTGGGCCGCGGGCTCAGGAGGGGCCGCGGCCGCCTGCTCCTGGCTGGGGGGCTGCGCTGGGCAGGGGCTCAGGGCCTGTGCCTGCCGGTGGGTCTTCTTGTGGCGGTTGAGCTTGCTGCTCTGTGCGCAGGCGTAGGGACACTGGTCGCAGGCGTAGGGCCGCTCACCCGTGTGGGAGCGCATGTGGACCTTGAGGTTGCTGAAGGAGCTCAGGGTCTTGGTGCACACCGGGCAGGTGGGGCTCCGGCGTCCCAGGCTGCTTGGCCGCGGCACCTTGACCTTGATCTCGGTCTCCGGCCCTGCCACGGGGGACACGGCAGCGGCCACCTCAGCCAGGCTCAGCAGCGGGGCCTCAGGGCTCTCGGGTTCCGTCTGGTAGATGGACAGTCCATGGTCCCACTGCACGTGGCGCAACAGCCTCCAGGCACCGGCGAACTGGCGGCCACAGCGGAGGCAGCTCAGGACTTTCAGGTCCTCGGGGTGATCTGCAGAGAGAGTGGGAGGCGCTTAGGGGGCATCCCGGAGAAGACAGCACCCCTGTGGATGCTGCTGCCGCCCAAGGGGTGATTTCTGGGCTTGGAGAGCTCCGAATGTTTGGGGCTCGTGGGATCCAGGACCTGGCCGGAGAGGGACAGGCTTGGGCTTCCTGCCCGAGCTCAACCGGGTCTTCCCTGACTCCCTGACATCCACTGGTCCCCACACCTCTCACACAGCAGCGAAGGGGCAGAGCTGGGGTACCAACCCAGAAACAGGGAGTGCAAGGCAGATTGTGCACTAAAAAACAGCATGTGACCCAGGAGCTCGCACAGGGGTTGAGGTTCTGGCCTTGTGTGCAGCCAATCCTTCATGGTTCCATCCCTAGCACCACAGGGGGTCTCCTGAGCACAGAGCCAGGAGTGGGCCTGTGCACTGAAGGGTGTGCCTCAAACCCAGACAGACACACAGAAACAGCTTCCCATCATCCCCGCATCCCTGTCTCCAGAGAGCGGGTCCAGGTCTGGATGGGGACAAGCTTAGAAGCCACACAGAGAGTGACTTAGTTCCCCGCCCTCTGCCCGGACCCCAAATGATAACTCCCCAACCTGGTGTTTTGTCTAGACTTGAGGTTCCCAGACCTGTTTGGCTTACGGAAAAAAGGGCAAACCTGCCTTCTTCAAGGAATTAGCAGGGAGGGCCCCGAGTGGCCCCGGAAGCCCCCCAGGGAGGGGCATGAGGCATATAGCCTTCCGGGCCTGTCCTCTCTGGCCACTGTCCCTGTGGCAGCTTCTGGACCGGCTGGCCCTTCAGTTTCAAATCCTAGCCTGGGGGCGGTTGATGGATGCAGAGAACCCAGGGGTAGTGTATAAACGTTTCAAGGCCCCCAGTTCTGAGTCCTGCCTCTGAGCTGGGTAACCCTGGACAAAAAATACAAAAAAACAAAAATAAAAACAAACAAAAAAACGCCCCATCTCGGAGCTTCACTTTCCTTAGTGGCTAGAATCTGGGGACCTCAGGGGCCTTCTCCTTTTGAAGGCAGTGTGATGGGGAAGCACAGAACCAGGACCAGGCTAGCTGAGCCCTCGGGGCTTCAGTCCCCTTAATCCTGTCCCAGACCTGCTAGGCCTGAGAGGCCACACCCCCTGCCCAGCCTGGCCTTAGGCACTGGGCTTCTCAGACCCTCTCTCCAGGGAACCCAGGGCAGGTAATCCATTTCTCAAAAAACCTCGGAGGCTGGGAATGGCACCCTCCTAGCAGAACTGCTTTGGATGCATGAGGCTCTGGGTTCTAATTCTGGCACCCAAAGGGAAACAAAAAGATATGCAAAAAAAACCCCAAACATCTAGAAAGACCCCACGGAGCCTGGAGGCGCCCCCAGCCCACTCAGATGCCCACCCTGGAAAGGCATCTTAGGTCCTGCCTGAGAGAATGGACTCAGGTGTCCAGCATGGCCAGAGACCTGACTCAAACCAGGGGCTTCCCAGCAGGCAGGCCTGGGAGAGCCCCTGGGGGGGGCACACACACTACAGGCACCCCGCTTCCCGGCTGACCAAGGGGCACCCCTGGGCCCGTCCATCGGAAGGAGCAGAAGTGGGAAAGAGGCAGCAAGTGGTAAAAATCTTCCTCCCAGCTGGCCTCTCTCCAGGCCACTGCCCTCCCCAGAGGTCCTCCCCGCTTACTGCCACCCTGGTCCAGCCACCTGGCCAGTTATTTCTGGCCAAGGGGAAGGAGAAGTGAAACCAGATTTGGGGACTCGAGGGGGGCGACGATCATGGCAAATCCCCAGACTGGAGCTGGCCACACCCTGTGGGCGGCCCTCCCTGCCTGCCCGGCAGGCTGGCCCCTGCCTCCACCACCCCCTCACCACTAGTCCCAGCCCTGGGGACAGGGCAGGCCCTGGCCACGCCTAGGCTGCACCCGAAAGGGGAGCGAGAAAGGGGAAGTACAGTCGCTGCCCGCCGGTCCAGCTCGGCCCCTTTCTCACAGGAAGCCGGGCGCGGCCACCGCACTTACCTGAGTACTGGCCGGGGCTGGGGCCTCTGGACAGCTGGCACCCCAGCCTCTTGTGGTCCATGAAGGCCGTGATGGCCTCCAGCGGGAAGGCCTGCAGGCAGCGGCCGCAGGTCAACAGATCGGGGTGTTTCTCGGTGCAGGGCTGGCGGTCTGCAGGGAGGAAGCGGGTTGGTGAGCACCGGGTGGGGCCAGGATGAGGGCTGGGGGTTCCGAGTGGCCGCGCACGCCGAGGGGCGGGGGGAGGGGCAGGGGGTCGGGGACCGGCGAGGGGGTGGTCCCCGCGGGGCGCGGTGCCACGGGTGGGGAGGCGGGGCGCGCGCTCACCGAAAGGGCTGGCGATCAGTGTGGCCCAGCACGGGTCCCGCGCGTCCGCGGGCTGGACGGAAGCCTCGGGCTCCGGGTAGCAGAAGTAGGGTTCGCTCCTGAAGCTCCCCGGCGCGGGCGCTTCCTCCAGCGCCGGGGCCTGCAGGGGCCGCGCGTCCGGCTCGAGCTTCACGTCGATGACGAGGTCCGGCATCTCCAGCTCGTCGTCCGAGCTGCTGGCGGGCTCGAGTTCCACTCGGCGGGGCATGCAGCCGGCCTTGCGGCGGGACATGAGTCGCGGGCGGAGGACGCGCAAGCCGTGCGCGCTCGGACCGCGGCGCTCAGGTGAGTGGCTGCGGCGACCCGCCGCGAACTCCTCTTACACGTGCTGGCCCGGCCTGTGGCTCCGCCCCCGGGGTGGGGCCTGAGGGCGGGGCCGCGGCCAGGGGCCCCACCCGCCGCCCAATCCGGTCAGGGCGCTGCCCACCCGCAGAGGCGGGGTGGCCAGTCCTCGTGAAGGATCCCACCGCGCCGGGAAAGGGCGATTTCTTTCTTTTTTCCGGGCTGGGCAGCACCTGACGATGCTCAGGGACGACTCCTGGCTCCGCTGCTGCGCTCAGGGGTCGCTCCTGGCCGTGCAGGATGCTGGGGGTGGACCCCAGGTCAGCCGCGTGCAAGGGAAGAGCCTTCCCACCCTGTCCATCGATCGCTTCCGCCCCAAGGAAGGGCAGTTTCTTTCCTTTTCTTTTTTTTTTCTTTTTGGGTCACACCCAGCAATGCTCAGGGGTTACTCCTGGCTCTGCACTCAGGAATTACTCCTGGCGGTGCCGGGGGAGGTGGGGGTGGGGGGTGGACCATATGGGATTCAGGGGATCTAACCTGGGTCGGCCGCATGCAAGGCAAACGGCCCTACCCGCTGTGCTAACGCTCCAGCCCCTGAAGGGCAATTTCTGATGCCATATCTGGGCTGGTGGAACAGAGGCACAGAATGCATGCGTGTGTGTGTGTGTGTGTGGTGTGTGTCCTCCAAACCCTGTCTCCAGCCAGAAAATAGCAGGGTCATCCTCCGAACTGGTCACCTTCTAATCATCAGCACTTCTTCATTCAACGTAGGACAAGAAAACTGTGCTGGGCCAACATTACAAAGTGCTGAGTGCCCTGTGTGTACTTGTAGAGCTAGGAGACAGAGGGCAGTGAACCAGCATCACCCCTCTATAATACCACCCATTTGCTCAGGGAGATCGCTCTGGACCAGAGAAGTAGGTAAAATAAAGAGTGTCTTCTTCTCTTTTTTTTTTGTCAACAAGAATCTTTATTACTCTATGTGCTCTTAGGCTTTCTTGCCAGATGCTTTTGGAGCAGCTGCTTCCTGAGCAGGAGCTTTCCGACCCTTTTGTGCTTTAGGAGATGCTGCTGCCTTCTGGCCTGCAGCTTTCTGTGCAGGAGCCTTCTGGGCAGGGACTTTCTTGCCTGCAGCAGCCTTTTTAGCTGGAACCTTTGCAGCAGCAGTGGCTGTGGCTGCACCCTTTGCAGTAGCGGCTTTTTTGGGAGAAGCTTTCAGGAGAGCTGCCTTTTGAAGCTTCTTAACTTCAAGCTTGATTATTCTGTTCCTCATTTTCTTTGCCTTCGTGACTTTGTAAGGAGGCCAGAGCGATAGTATATAATTCCTCCGTGCAGAGCCAGGAGGTAACCCCTAAGCATTGCCAGGTGTCATTCAAAAAGACAAAAAAGAAAAAAAAGTGTCTTCTACAGTGACAAATGGCATGGGCCAGAGAATCCAGTGGGAAAGGCGCTGGCCTTTCTGGTTCAAAAAAAAAAAAAGCATGCTACGACTGGTTCTAAGGACTGGACGGGTTAATGGGATGGAGGCTTTCAGTGTTCTTCCTTCCCCAGGGAAGCAGACAGTAGAGTTTGAGGGAGCTGAGGGGCTGGTCAACCTGGAAATTCCAGACTAATGATGGGAGGAAGCTCAGGAGGGTGGGGGTGGGGGGTCTGGGTTAGATCCAAGAAACTCTTTGGCACTTGAGAACTCCCCTTGTATGTAGCCAATCCCGATTCAACCCAACCTGAGCGCAGCTGGTGCCTTCAGCACCTCCAGAGTAACCCTTGAGCACCTCTGCCCTTCCCCCAATAAAATCCCCAAGCAAGAGGGTCTTGGTCTTCGGAGGCAGGTTTTGAGCAGAGGAGGTTGGCGTTCGTGTACCTCGGATTCGCTCCTAGTCCTAGAATGCCCTTCTAGAACTCATTAGCCAACTGTCTCACCTCCTTCCACCGGGCCTCCTTGAACTTGCCTGCCTGCAGCTCTCTGATCACTGTTTGAAGTGGCATCAACACCGGGCCCCACCCTCCACACTTAACACGTTTTCTTTTCTCCTGGCACAGTCTGTATCATAATATCAGAACTGTTTGTGGGCTGTCCTCTCCACTCAATTCAAATCCCCTGAGGTCAGGGCCAGGATCTGTCCTCCATTCCCAGCCCCAGTGTCCGCAGCCCAATGCGGGAATTTCACATGCTAATCAACCAGAGCTGGCCGGAGGCCCCCCGGGGCTGCTCATTGTTATTCAGGTCTCTGTTCAATTGTCCTCCGGAGAGCCCAGGGCCTCCTTGACCACCATATCTAAAGTGGCCCCACTTGGCCCAAGGCCTTACAAGGTACACTCCCTGACCTCCATCTGTCCCCAGCGCCTGGGCCTCAGTTTCCCCCATCTGTTCCTGGAGGTGGTGGCCTCTTCAGCGCTTTCCCCTCTGACCAGTCCGTGCAAGAAGCTTTCTCCAGGCTGTCCCCTCCTCATCCTGTTACCTTATTACACTCATTTTTAATCCTTTTTCTAGCACTCAAATCCCCAAGGCTGGGACAATTTACACCCGCTCCCTCACCCTAGACCACATGAGGTAGACTCATTTTTTTTGGGGGGGGGGAGGGCAGGGAGCACACCCAGGGATACTAGGAGGTTATTTCTGAGCATTTGGTGATCAGAAGTTATTCCTGAGCACCTGGCACTCAGGGGTTATCCCAGGTAGTGTTTGAGAGACCATATGGGGTGTCAGGGATCAAAACGGGTAGTGGAGTGCAAGGAAGAGACTGTATACTGGGGCTGGGGTGATAGCACAGTGGGTAGGGCGTTTGCCTTGCACGTGGCTGACCCAGGTTCGATTACCCAGCATCCCATAGGGTCCCCTGAACACTGCCAGGAGTAATTCAGAGAGTGCAGAGCCAGGAGTAAGTAACCCCTGTGCATCACCGGGTGTGACCCGAAAAGCAAAAAAAAAAAAAAAGAAAGAAAGAAAGAAAGAAAAGGGGGAAAAAAGGCTGTATATTTCCCTGGCTCCGTGAGGTGGATTAAATAACTATTAGCCAAGGGTCTGACAGCCTGTAGACACCCAGCGCAGGGAGAAATATATTCTCGGGCGGCCCTATAGGGAAATGACCGAGTGGAGAGGTAGTGACCAGGGCAGGAGCACTCAAGTCTGGGTCTCCGCTCAATTGTCTGGGGGTGGGGTGACAGAAATCCTTGTAGGGCCTCAATGTAAAACGACACTCTAGGGTGGGCAGAGGGGACAATATGACCCCAGGGAGGGCAGTGTGTATGGGGGAAGCTGCCACTCTCCGAGCCCAATTTCTCGGTCGGGGGGAAGTCGAGGCTGGTATGGGTGGGAGTCGGAGCGCACATGTGCAGGAGTTGGAGGGAGCAGCCAAGACCTGCCTTGGCCTGCAGCTACCGCGGCGGGCGGAGAGAGGAGATCGGGCGTGGCTTTGCCTGTCCGAGCCTCAGTTTCCTCCTCCGTCCCCAGGGCGTGGCGGGCGGCGGCGGCGCGCGCCGGCGGCCGGGGTGGGGCGGGGGGCAGCGCGGGGCGGGCGGCCACGTGGGGCGGCGGCGCGGGCGGAACCCGGGCGCGGCGGCTCGCGGCTCGGCCGGGCGTCTGCAGCCCGCGCGCCGGCGGAAGTCGGGGCACCGCGCGCCGCGGCGGGGTGAGTGCGGGGCGCGCGCCCGGGGTGGGGGTGGCGGACGCGGACGGGCTCGCCCGCGGGCAGCGCGGCCACGCCGGATGCAGGGCCACCCGGGCTCCGTATCGTCCACGTTCGGGCGGGGCCCCAGCGCCGGGACGGCCGTAACAGTCCTAACGGCGGCGGCGGGCGGGACGCGCTGGCCTGGAGGCCCAAGTGGGACGCGGGTCCACCCCGACGCCCAGGGCTTGGGCGCCCGGAGGACGCCGGCGGGGTGGGAGGACGTGCCGAATGCAATGGAAACTGACCGGCCCCGGGGGGCGCGCAGAGTAGGGGCGGCCCCGGGTGCGGGGGTTTGGAACCTCGGGGGAGCCCGCACCAGGCGCGTTTGCATCCCGGCACGGCACTGCACGGCCCGGCGCCCCTCCGCACTCTGCGCCTTGAGCCGGCCGCCCAGCCGCGTTCCTCGCCCGCCGGTGACTGTTCTTCCAAGACGCAGATTTCCCCCCCCCCTTTTATTGAAACTCAACGCGCGTAGCCCCAAAGGAGGGCGCCGCGTCTCTCAGTCCTCCTGCTTTTGACCTAGCGATGGGCTTTTTTGGTTTGGTTTTGGGGGGGGGTCAAGGCTTACTCCTGGCTCTGTGCTCAGGGATCGCTCTGGGTTGGGGACACGAGCCACCGGTGCAAGGCAAGTCCCCTACCCGCTGTACTATCTCTCCAGTTTTTTTTGGGGGGAGGGGAAGGAGCACATCCGGCGATGTTTAGGGGTTTACCCCTGGCTCTGAGCACAGGGATCACTCCTGCTCCTGGCGGTTCTCAGGGGACCGTTGCAGATGCTGGAGATGGACCCCCTGATAGGCTGTGAGCAAGGCAAATGCCCCACCCGCTGGCCCTCTCTCTCCAGGTTGGGGAGGAGCCTGGCTGATTGTTTTTTCCTGGAGTGAGAGATGGATTTGGATGTTCTGAAAAGTGGAGTGTGTGTGCATGGGTGGGTGGGGAGGCGGTGGGTGGAGCAGGATACTCATCCAATAAATTGAAAGGATTAAGAACTTTGGGCTCACTCCCTAGAGAGCGGCTAATGCCTGCCTGGGCACACCCTAGGTGACCTTTTTCAAAGAACTTTCTTATCAGGTCACACCTTGGCCCTGAAAACTCCAACGGCTGCCCTGCACTCACTGTCCATCACAGTCTGCCCTTCTGCCCTGGGTTGGCGGTGGGCGGTGGCCCCTTGGGGTCAGGCCCCTTTTTTGCCAGTTCCCAGCTTGTGCCTAGAAATGAATAGCTTTAGTTTCCCCTTTGGGAAAAGTGGGATTCTGTGGGTCAGACCACAAGCTCTGCTCTGGGGTTTCCCCTGGTAGAGGGGACAAATACTTCCACCGGCAGGCCCACCTTTGAGCTTGATCTCAGCACCGGAGGTAATTCCTGGCCGCAGCTTTGTTGCTGTTGATCCTTTGCTAATTCTAGCTCTAGGGAGATGGAGAGGTAGTCCCAGGGGCGTTTGCCAGAACTTGGAGCCTATTGGTCAGAGAGAATTTAGGATGCTTCCATCCCGAAGTGCGGTCAGATGAAAATGAAACGATTTCAGATTAATTAGTAGGGGTCTTGCCCATCAGCAAAGTCTTGGGGCTGCTCCCCTGCCCTGCTGTTTCCCTTTGTCTGTTAGCAAATTATGAGGGCTTTTAACCTTAAAAGTCTATCCTAGGGAGCCAGAGCCATAGTACAGCAGGTAGGACATTTCCCTTGCACCCAGGGCACCCGGGTTCGATCCCTGGCATCCCAAATGGTCCCCCAAGCACCTCCAGGAGTAATTCCTGAGTGCATGAGCCAGGAGTGACCCAAAAAGCAAAAAACAAAAACAAAAACACTAGTGTATGCTTGAATGGGCCAGACAGATAGTTTAGAGGTTAAGACTGTTGCCTTGCAAGCTGCCAGCCCCAGACTGATTCAGTACTTTGGACCCCAGTCATTCCTGAGCACTGCAGAATCTGGACCCCTCAACCCAAATAAAATGTACCTTTATCTGACTACTTCTTTCATCTTCACTGTCCACCCCTACCCTCTTCTAATACATGGCCCTCGGCGGGGTCTCCTCACTGCGCTGCCTGCTTCCTGCCCTCGCCTCCGTTCTCTGGGCAGCGGGCAGTGGGATCTGGCAGAGGATGGTCAGTCCTGGAAGATTCCCAGCTCACCCAGACACGCCCAGTGTCTCGCCACTGCCCCAGTCGTCCACCTGTCCAACTGGACACGTTGCCTTGCGCCCTCGAAGCCTGAGGGTGGCATTTGCCTTTCCCTCAGATCTCCAGCCGACGCACGCCTAATCAGAGATCTCCACCTTGCCCTTCTGGAGCCCCCTCTTTCTTCCCTGGTTTGGTGGTTTGGCTGGTTGCTCCCCTGGGCTTTTTTCTTTTTTTTTTTTGTTTGCTTTTTTGGGTCACACCCAGCGATGCTCAGGGGTCACTCCTGGCTCTGCATTCAGGAATTACTCCTGGCGGTGCTTGGGGAACCATATGGGATGCTGGGAATCGAATCCGGGTCGGCTGCGTGCAAGGCAAACATCCTACCCACAGTACTATAGCTCCAGCCCCTCCGCTGGGCTTCTTCATTCTTTTTTTTTTTTTTTTGCTTTTTGGGTCACACGGGGCGATGCTCAGGCGTTACTCCTGGCTCTTGCACTCAGGAATTGCTCCTGGCGGTGCTCGGGGGACCATATGGGATGCTGGGAATCAAACCTGTGTCGGCCATGTTGGCTGCGTGCAAGGCAAACGCCTTACTCGCTGTGCTATCGCTCCAGGCCCTGGGCTTCTTCATTCTTGTCCCCACCACCCTGCCACCCCTCGTCTGGCCACGAGCCTATGTTTCCTGACCCCCACAGCCTGGGCACAGCACTGACACTCAGGTAAGGATTACCAGAATGGGTAACCCTTTATTATTATTTGGGGCCACACTCAGCGATGCTCAGGGCTTATTACTACTGGCTCTGTGCTTAGGGAACCATATGAGGTGCCGGGGATTGAACCTGGGTCCACTGCATGCAAGGCAAATGGCCTACCCCTTGTACTGTTGTTCCATCCTGATCTTTTTTTTTTGGTTTCTGGGCCACACCTGGGGTGCTCAGGGATCACTCTTGTCAGGGCTCAGAGAACCACATGGGGTGCCAGGGATGGAACCTGGGTCAGCCTTGTGCAAGGTAAATGTTTTCCCAGCTGTAATGTCACTCTGGCCCTGGGTGATTCTTCGTTTTTCCCATGCGAGTTGATTGATTTGCCAGACCCGGAGCTGGGTGGGGAGGGCGTGGTGAACATGCTGATTAGATCCCCACTCTTGGCCCTCTGTTCTTGGAGAGAAGGGACAAGTGACAGCAGGCCAGTGCACATAGTCAGGAGGGGTGGGGTGGTAGGTCAAGCTTAGCACATGGTGGAAAGGTCACTTGTGTCCTTCCCTGGTGAGGGGACAAGGGGACCCTTGAGCAGTGAGCTGAGGGCAGGGGAGGAGGGGAGCCGGATCTGGGAATATAATGAGTCTTCCGGCTGGAGGGTTCGGGGCCAGCAAGTGCAAAGGCCCTGAGGCAGGAGGGGTGTGGCCTGTTCTGGAGACTGGCGGGGGGCCGGGTGGCTGGTGGGATTGGTTTTGGCGCCTTGTACCCTGAGTAATGAGGCTTCTGGGCTCTGGGAGGCAGGCTCCAAGGTGCCCCAGCAGAGGAGACATGATCAGATGTCGTTCTAGCAGTTTCCACTCCCTGGGGGGCCAGCCTATGAGGAGAAGGTGGAGGGTGGGGCCGCCACAGTTGCTGGACCGAGAGGGGAAGAAGTTGCCCAACTTTGGGGCCCTTTGGAGGCTGCGGTGAGAACCTGGGCCTGCCTGGCTAAGTCAGGAGTTGGCCCTTGGAGCTGTTTCTCCATAGCCTCCCCGTATCAACAGGACAGCGGTTGGGGTCCGTATGGTACTGTGCGGAGACTGCACACTCTGGCCCACGCCTTCCTGAGAAAGGGTTCCCCACTGAGCTGCAGAGCCCGGAAGAGCCTGGCAAGCAAAGGGACCCTCGCTGCTACTTGGCCCCACAGGCCCCAGGCTGGGACTTTGTCAATGAACTCACAACACTTTTTTTTTTTTTTTTTGCTTTTTTTGGGTCACACCCAGCGATGCTCAGGGATTACTCCTAGTTCTGCGCTCAGGAATTACTCCTGGCGGTGCTTGGGGGACCATATGGGACGCTGGGGATTGAACCTGGGTCGGCCGCGTGCAAGGCAAACGCCCTACCCGCTGTACTATCGCTCCGGCCTCTCACAGAGCACTTTTATTGAGGGGTTTTGGTTTGGGGCAGTGATGCTTGGGAGCTTTTCCTGGCTCTATGCTCAGGGGTCACTCCCCTGATCTCATGTGATGCTGGGGATGGAAGCTTGTCTCAGTGCCAGGCAAGAACCTTAACCTTTGCGCTCTCTCTCTCCAGCTGCATCCCCCACTTAACACTTTACCCGCGGGCTGAGCTCTAGGGAAGAGTTGTAATTGCCTCCAGCTGGGATCCCTGCCCTCGTTCTCCCCACAAAGCCACACTTGTGTGTCCACCTGCCCCTTGGCGGTCGTTATCCTGTCCCCAGCTGGTGCTGAGTTCAGTCCCTTTCGTAGGCCAGATATACAATATGGTTGTTTTGGGGACCCACATAGTGATGCTCAGGGCTTCTGGGTTCTGCACTCAGGGATCACTCCTGATGATGCTCCGGGAAATCCCTGGGGTTGGTTGAGTCCAGTTGACCGAGCGCAAGACCAGCGCCCTCCTTGCTGTACTGTCTTTCAGTACAATATGTGAGACAAATAATCACCACCAAATCTGTCCTGTGCGAGTCTGTGGAATCCTGATAATCAGCCGAGAGGGGAAAAAAATCCTCTCCTGTGGAGTGGGAGGGGAGAAGCAGGGGATACTGGGGGGAGACAGCCACCTTGCAGAAAGCAAGCACAGAGGCAGGGCAAGTAGTAGGTGCTCTCCTGTCCTGGATGGGCTACTCAAGGACCTACGCACAGGGAGTAGCAGCGGCAGTACCCAGAAGGGCAGTAGAGGGGTGTCAGCAGGCCTGGGCCGCCAGGGACCTGGGCTTTGACATAACTAGCTGGAAGCCAGGGAAGGGTTCTTTCTTTTTTTTTAATTAATTTATTTTTATTAGTGAAACACCATGAGGTACAGTTATAGACTTACAATTTTTTGTGCTTGGGTTTTAGTTATACAATGATCAAGTACCCATCCTTCCACCAGTGCCCATTTTCCACCACCACGGGTCCCAGTATCCCTCCCACCCCCCATCCCCTCCATCCCACCCTGCCTCTGTGGCATGGCAGTCCCTTTTGTTCTCTCTCTCCTTTTGGGTGTTGTGGTTTGCAAGAGAGGCATTGAGTGGCAATCATGTTTGGTCTATAGTCTACTTTCAGCATGCATCTCCCATCCTGGGAGGATCCTCCCAACACCCTTTATTTGGTGCTCCCTTCGCTATCTGAGCTCCCTTTTCCGCCAGGGGAAGGTTCTGAGCGGGGAAGGGATGTGGTGTGACAGGGGCTCTCTAGCGGTATGGGAGGTGTAAGTGGGGCAGGGTGGAGTCTGGTGAGGTCTTTAACACAGCAGACAGGAAGTGATGGTGGCTAGAACTGAATGTTGATAATTGCAGTGGTGTGTGTGTGTGTGTGTGTGTGTGTGTGTGTGTGTGTGTGAGTGAGTGCAGTTGTCTTCAGTTGTCTTCTAGGCTTGATTTGGGGGGGGAGGTGTAGAGGGTCCTTGATTGTTTTTTGTTTTTGGATGACACCCAGCGATGCTTGGGGTTTACTCCTGGCTCTGCATTTAGGAACTACTACTGCCAGTGCTTGGGGGACCATATGGGATGCTGGGGATTGAACCCCGCGTGGGCCACATGCACCCACTATATTGAGACTCCACCCCCTTGATAGTCTTTTACCTGTTTTGAGGGGATGCTTTTCCTGACTGTGCTCAGGAGCGACCCCTGGTGGTGCCAGGGATCAGAGCCCCGTTGGTGGGGCATTGAAGGTGTGCCTTAACCTCCATACTATCCCCGATTCCTTTTTGTCTTTGGGCCACACCCAGGTCTGGGTTCTCCACTCAGGATTCCAGGACAGGCTTGGGAAACCGTATGGGGTACCAGGGATCCAACCTGGGTCATCTGTGTTCAAGCTCCCTCCCTCCACTCTATACTACTTCTCTGGACCACCCCCAGTTTTTTGTTTTTGTTTTGCTTTTTTTGGGTCACACCCATTGATGCTCAGGGGTTATTCCTGGCTCTGCACTCACATTCCTGGCGGTGCTCGGGGGACCATATGAGATGCTGGGAATCGAACCCGGGTTGACGGGTTGCAAGGCAAATGCTCTACTCGCTGTGCTATCGCTCCAGCCCCACCTCCATTATTTATTTATTGGGGGTCGCCTTCAGGGATGCACAGGGGTTACTCCTGGCTGTGCTCAGGGAACCATATGGGATGATGGGAATAGAACCCGGGTCGCCCGCGTTAAAGGCAAAAGCCCTACCCACTGTGCTATTGCTCCAGCCCCTCCTTCCTTTTTCTGTGTACTCAGGTTTTTCTCTTTTTCAGTTGGTGGTTGATCATCTGTAATTAACATTATTTCTGTATTCCAATCAGCCCGTAGGAGCCGCTTCTCGAGACTGGGAATTTTTCTGTAAGATGTGGTGGGGCGGTCTGTGTGTGAGAAAGGAGAGGAAGGGGGTGGTGGTGGTGGTGGTGGTGTGTGTGTGTGTGTGTGTGTGTGTGTGTGTGTTGGGGGCGGGGTAAGTCTTGGTTCCCACCAAGGGCCTTGGGGAGGCTGTGGAGGGTCAGAAAGGGACTGTGGTGGCTCCCGGGGGGTTTGGGGTAGGGATTCAGAGCCCGGGGTCCGGCAAGTGGAACTGCGCTGGCCAGACCAGCCTCTACACCCGCCCCCTTCCTGAGTCCCCGCGCCCCTCAAACAGCTCCCTGTGCCTCTTCCCCCCGCAGCCCGGATCATGCAGACCCCGCTGGCCATGCCCGTGCCCGTGCTGCGGCTCCCCCGGGGCCCAGACGGCTTCAGCCGGGGCTTCGCCCCCGATGGACGCCGGGCGGCCCGGAAGCCGGATGTGGCTGAAGTCTCAGGCTCTGCCGCGGGAGCTCAGGAATCTCGCGAGGTCCAGGAGCAGCGGGCACGAGCCGCCCTGCGTGAACGCTACCTGCGCAGCCTGCTGGCTATGGTGGGCCATCAGGTGAACTTCACGCTGCACGAGGGGGTGCACGTGACCGCACACTTCGGAGCCACCGACCTGGACGTGGCCAACTTCTACGTGTCGCAGCTGCAGACTCCGATAGGGGTGCAGGCAGAGGCGTTGCTCCGGTGCAGCGACATCATCGCCTACACCTTCAAGCTGTGAGAATGAACCCAAGGGACTCTCCAGGCCTGCAGGTGCTCCTGGGCTCGGAACCGTACGTGTGTCCCTGGAAGCTCAGAACTGCCTCGTTTTTTCCAACAGTGGGCTCCAAGCAACTGTAGCTTTTTGGGGTACCCTGGATCTATCAGTTAAATTCTACAGCCCAGGTTATTTTGCCCTGCCTCAGAGAACTGTAGAAATCAGGCTTCAAAACCAAAGCAGATCCTGAGGACTTTGGAGGATGACGAGTGGGGAAGAAAGGGCGAATAAAGGAACATGAACTGTGCAGCAGAAAATTGCTTCATTAAAAAAAAAAATTTGCTTTTCTTTTTCTTAGTAAAAACTAGTTTTATGAGTTCTTAGCCAGAACAGCGCCAAGAATGGCCACATTTGTTTTATTTTGCTTTTGGGGCGACATCTGGCAATGCTTAGGGATTACTTCTGGCTGTGCACTCAGTAATCACTTCCTGTAGTGCTTGAGGATCATTTGGGATGATGGGGATCGAACCTGGATTGGCTGTGTGTGAGGCAAGCACCTTGCCTGTTGTACTAACTGTCCGGCCCCCAAAACTGTAGTTTTAAATAAATTTACTTAGAAAGATGTTGGCAGGAGTATGGAGGTGGGATGGGGGAGGGTGGACACATGTTTGAGAGAGAACACAGGCTTCTCCAGAGGAGAAAAAAAGTGGGGAGTGCATCTTAAATTGAGATGCTGACCTATTTCCAGGGTCGAGAATGAGTATTTCTGTGGACCTGGGGATCAAATCCAGGGCCTCACATGCAAAGTACTAGCAGCTGAGCTCAGGGGATCATACAGTGCTAAGGAGAGAATCCAATCTCCCCACGTTTAGAGCGTTGCTGTAGCCTTTTACCACTGGGTGTTTGGAGACTCATGAGGTGCTGGGATCAAACGTGCGCCCCAGCACACAATACGTGCTCCCCAGGGAGGTAAATTATTTTATTTTCTAGGTTCTTGAGGTTGCTAGGTGGAGCAACTCTGAAGATCCTCACCACCTAGCAAAGAACCAATTCGGCTACTGAAAATCACTTTCTGCTTTTGTTTTCTTGCGAGGTGCTGGGATCCCACCAAGGACCTCACACGTGCAGGATCTCCAACCCTGAGGTACATCCTCAGGGCTGCAGCCAGGCTGAGGGGGTGGACGGGTGGCTCCCCCAGAACGAGGTCTAGGGTAGCTGGGCCTGGCCCAGGCAAGTGCAGTTAGTTTTGGGCGTGGCTAGAGGGATCTGAAAGCCTGGTTGGCTCGATTATTTGGCGCGGAGGGTGGGCGGGGATGAGCCCCGGGTCTCGGAGAGACCGTCCTTCCCGCAGACCCGGGTGGAGTGACCCGCCACGGGCTGACCAGATTCGCTTCCCATTCCCCGGGCGAGGAAGCAGTGCAGCCACGCCTCGAGGAAAGACTTAGGCTTGGCGCCCCGGGGAGGCTTCGTTCCTTTTCAAACCCTTCCAGCTGTCCAGACCCAATCAATTCGGAGTCTTTATTTTTTAAAAAACGGGGGTAGGATTTCCGCCCCCTGAGGCTCATCAGGTTCTGTCCGCAAGTGAGGAATTCCGTTAAGCACCGATGAGATTTGCTTTGTCCCACTTCAATCGTGAAAGGACGACAGTCGAGGATGTAGAAGGGGCAGCGGAGAGCACCGCTCCCACACCTTCAGCGCGCTGCCGCCCGCCGGTCCCCGGCCTAACGCTCGGGTTGCTTTGGCAACCACGTCGCTCGCTCCGCCCCAATTTTCTCAAGCCCCGCCCCGTCCGCGGGGGGGGGGTGGGGGTGGGCTGGGAAAACCTGGCGAAAGTGCGGCGGCGAATCGGCAGGAGCCCGGAGGGCTGGACTCCTGGGGGGCGTGGCCTAGGTTCGTGCGGGTTTTTTTTTTTTCCGGGCTTGTTGAATTTACCTGCCGTCGCCTGGTCTTTTTGTTAGCAGACTTAGCTCTTTTCGGGTTTTCTTCCTTCCGCTTTTATTGTATTTTTAAATCAGACTCCTCACGGGGGGGTCCCATTTATTTTAACATGTTAAAGTCTAAAATGTACATTTAGACTTGAGGGTGGGCGGGAATGGAGCCGGGAGAGGCGTGGCCGGGCCCCAACGTGCTCCAAAGTCAGAGAACGGAGGGTGCAAATGGACTGCTAAAGAGTAGGTGGCCAGAGAGTCTCGGCGGCGTCTCCAGGCCGAGACCCCCTTGTCCACCGCGAGCACCTGTGCTCATAGAGTCACCACAGCTCCGCCCTTCGAGTTCGCGGCGCCCCACCAAGCAGCTGTTTCCACTTTTTCTCCAGTCCACTCCCTTCTCCCCAGCCCGAGCTCATGACGCCAGCGTGCGAACCCGAGCGCAGCTTAGACCGAGCCGAGGCGGGGTGGGGGCGGCGCCTGCGTGCTGGCCGGGAGACGCGGCCGCCCCGCCCCGCGGTTCCGGCGCCGCCGATTCGCCGCTCCCGCGTCTCGGGGCCGCGACTCTCGCCTCCCGCGTCAGCCCCCGGCCCCCGGCCTGACTCCCCCTCGCCCCCGGCCGGCCTGGATTTTCTCGGCCTCCGGCGGACGGGCCCGGGCTCGGCGGCCCCTGGCGAAAGTGCGGTGGCGAATGAGCAGGCGCGCGCGGGGCTCGGGGGAGGCGCGCTCGGGCTCCCGGAGGCGACGACTACGACGGCCGGGAGCGCGGACGGAGGCGGCGCCTGAAGCGGCGGCGGAGCCCATGCCCCGGGACGGCGGGCGGGCCCGGAGAGACCAGTCCGGGGCCCGGGGCATGTCCCCGGGGCCCCCCTGAGGAGGCGGCGGCGGCGGCGATGGAGGTCCCGCCGCAGGAGGCGCCGCCCGGGCCCGGCGACGCCGCCGAGGCCCCCGCCGAGGCCCGGGCGCCCAGCCCCACCTCGCCCCCCGCCGACGGGCGCCTCAAGGCCGCGGCCAAGCGCGTCACCTTCCCCTCCGATGAGGATATCGTGTCGGGAGCCGTGGAGCCCAAAGACCCCTGGAGACACGGTAGCCGGGGCCCGCGGGCGCGGGGGCGAGCGCGGGGAGGGGACCCGAGGGTCGCGGCCACGCCGGGCGCGCACGGGGCGCCCCGCGAGTTGCCCCGAGTGACGGTGGAGAGAGGCGCTGGCCGGGGCCGAGGCAGGGGGCGGCAGCAGGCAGCGGTCGGGGTGGGGGAGCGGGAAAGTGCTCCCCCTCCCCCCAAGAAAAAAAAAACCCCAAACGAAACCGAACCGCCGAAGGTGATCGTTTTAGGAGCAGTTCAAGAAAGTTGCGCCCCTGGGGAGATTCGGGGGCGGGGGGCTCCCCGGGGAAGAAGGCGGCGGTCCACATCGCCTTGGAGGGGCCCACGGGGGTGGGAGAGGGGTTCGGTGGCTGGCCTGCGGGCCTCGGGACAAGGGGTGGCCATGTTGCTCCTGTCGCGGCTGGAAGGAGGAAGAGGAATGACTGTGGGCGCGGGCTGCTGAGCGGGGGAAGGGGGGACGCGGGGGCCTGGGGAGGGGGAACGTGCTCAGCCAGCCCGCGGGACGGGAGGGGAGCCCGGGGGCTGCGGGGGGCTGCGGGGGGAGGTGCCAAGAAAAGCAGGGGCTGGAGATAGCAGGGCGCTGGTCTGGCACACAGCCCATCGCTGGCACCGCATAGGAGCGCCCCCCCAGCCCGCCCAGGAGTGACCCCTGAGCCCCGGAGGGTGTGACTCCAAAGCCCTCCTCCGAAAAAGGAGAAAGGTCACTGCGCACCTCCTTTCTGCAAAGGGAAGCAGAGGTAGCCTTTCAGCAGCAAAGGAACTTTGGGAACAGGGTGGGAAGGGGCTTTTATTCCCCCCCACCCCCAGAGTTGGGGAACAGGGTTCACAGGTGCCCAGAGGAGGTGGACTCCTTGAATCAGTTTGGGGTCCTGAGGCGTGGGGAGTCGGGAAGCCGGATCGGGATTCCTGAGCACCTGGGGAAGGTGCCCGGGATATTGGGTGTGCAGGCGGGGGTCCTGCTGGGGGTCTGTGGAGAGAGAAATCTGGCTAGATTGGGCCTTCCCGGGACAGAGAAAGAAGTGTGACCTGCCCAGGCAGTGGTAGCTCTGTGTGGGTCCCCATCCTCCTAGGAACCTGCAAACAGTAGTCGCTACTGGGTCATTTTTTTAGTTTCTGGAGCTACACCCAGTGGTCCCCAGGTGCTGTCTGCTCAGGGGACTGCGTGGTACCAAGGATGGAACTTGGGGCCCCTGCATGCAAAGCTTCAGCCCCGTGAGCCTCTTCCCAGCCTCACAGCAGCTGCCTTTTGGGTGGAGAAGTGGGGGTCGTGGGCCTGAGGAAGGGACTGGTCTGTCGCATGGTATCCAACCACTGGAGAGTGGGGGATCCAGTGGGCAGGGCAGCCGCCCCAAGGCAGATTGGGATGGTCTCCTAGGTACCCCCACATCCTGCCCTCCTTTCTGTAAAGGGGGCGGCAGTGCTAGGGACTGTGGGCAGAAGCCCTTGACTGGTACATGTCAGGTGCAGCCGGGCTGCACTCTGTCCGCGCCCGTCTGTTTGTGCCTTACAGATAGACCCCCAGAAGCAGGACCCAGAGGGTGGTTTGTTAGTGGGTCTGGACGAAGGCAGGGAAAATGGAGTGGGGGAGGGCAGAGGTGCAGGGAGCTTTGGGGAACAGGGCAGTGGGTACCCCGCAGAAGAATGGCTGCCTGACTCCGTGAGCAGTTTCCTCTTGGAGCCTCGGAGTCTGCAGGTGGAGGTGCTGATTATCCGTGGGGGGCATGAGATCAGATTGGCCTTGCACAGGAAAAGCGGCTGTCAGGGCCAGAGCAATCACCCAGCAGGGACAGCCGTGTACACAGCCGACCCAGCTTCGGTCCCTGGTACCCCATATGGTTGTGTGATTCTTGAGCACAGGGCCAGGAGTAACTCCTGAGCACCTGTGCCCCCAAACTAAACAAAAAAGAGATAGCAGCTGTTTTCCGTCCATCCCCTCACCCGTGGAGAGGCCACGCAGGAGTTGGGGTGGGTAGGTATGCCCAGGAAGAGGGTCTGTGGGCATGGGGAGGAATTGCTGGGTCGGGCTGTTATCATTCTGGGAAGTTTCCAGAAGGACAAGGGCCTGGTCAGGACTTTGTGAGGTCTGAAGTGGGGGTGGGGGTCAGCTTTGGGGCTGTCAGAGGAAGGAATTGGCCTGTCAGTGAAGGTGTTGGGGGACATTGCCCCCTAGGTAGGGAGAAGGTAGTGAGGTTGGTGAGGTGGGAAGTGGGGGGCCTGGGGTGGTGAGGTTGGTGCCGTGCCAGAAGAGTGGGCCTACCTGTGGGAGCTGCTCTGGAAGCTGGGGACAGCTCAGGAGTCCCTGATGCTGGGCCCATGTGGGAAGGTGCCCTGCTGAGGCCCATGGGGACAAGGGATTGGAGGGTCCACATGCAAGTGGGGGGATGTAGCAGAATCAGGTGAGTGTAGCAGAATCAGGGACACACCCCTCCCCCCAGCAGGTTTTGCAAGAGGTCACCGGAGAGGGTTCCTGCAGCTGAAGCCAGCTGGAAAGGGGCTGACAAAAGGCCAGGGTCATGGCCCCAGGTGTCCCCAAAGTGGTCCGCCTGACCCCCTGCATGCAGAACCATCTGATGGCACCTTTGTATTTGAGTCTTTCTGGGTGACCCCCCAGCCCTGTGAATAAAACAATACCCCTTTTTCCCATCCCCACCTTCCAGGCAGGCACACAGCTCTTCTAGAAGCGTCCTCGCAGGGACAGCCTAGGGCTGGGCTCCAGGGCCCTCCAGTTTGTGTGTGTGGGGGGGACACATTGTGAATGGAAGAGGTGACTCAGAAGGGGAGGAATCCCCCACCCCGTGGCCCATGTCCCTGGGGTGCCAGTAGGGAAGGGATTGGCCTTGGGGGTGGGGGCTCCTGCCGTTTGGAGGGCCAGGTCCAGATGTGACCCTGAACCCCTCCAGACCCTGTGGCAAGCTCAATCCTGGATCTGTGGGGGAGATGTGGTGACTGTCCCTCTCCCTCATGCCAGTGACTCACCCTCTACTTTACCTTCGGCCAGCCAGGGCAGCAGCTGGGGGCACCAGGACGATGTTTGGGGGGGGGGAGGGGTGACTCAGACCTCTGAGCTGCAGCAGCACCCGGGGTCTGTGCCCTTCTCCAGTGGGGAGCAAGGTGGGGCAGAGGCTCTCTGTTTGTCCTTACTGAACCCCAGGTTGACTTTGGAAACTGGTTTGGCAGGTGGCGGGCACCTGTCTGCGCTGGAAGGGCCACCCCCCAGCAGGGCTGTCGTCACCCTCTCACTGGGCTCAGAGAGCCCCTTCTGAGGACAGGGCCAGGCTGGCTGCCCGCTGCTTCCTCTCCCACCTGCGCATAGCTTGGGCAGCTCTGCTGTTCCCCCGCCACACACACACACGCACACACACACACACACACACAGAGTGTATTGCACACACACACACAGAGTGCACTACGCACACACACACACACAAACACACACACACAGAGTGCACTGCAGACAGGCATGGGAAGGGAACCGGCTGCCCCCACAGTCCAGACTCCCGCCCCCACACAACCTGGAGAGTGGCCACAGTCTTGCTGTTCCCCTCTCCACACACACACACAATCACACACACACACAATCACACACACAGTGCACACTGCAGACAGGCATGGGAAAGCCTCCAGCTTAGCACTGTGAGGGTGTCCCCAGCCCGTGGGGAGCCAGCTGCCCCTACAGTCCAGACTCCTGCCCCCACACAACCTGGACAGTGGTCAGTCTGAGGTGCAGCTCCTGCCTGGCCCGGACCCTCCTTAGGAAGCCCCCCCCCCCCCCAATCCTCATGCTGCCCTCTGCCCCATGGTCCACTTGGTCCACTGGTGTCCTTGGAGGACAAGGATATGTGACAACCCTGTGGCACACGGCAGCATTTGGGAGTCCCTCCATCCATGCCAGTCGGAGGCCCTGGAGTGCTGTCCGTCATCCTCGGAAAGAAAGCACATGCACATGCAGGCTGGAGAGTGGCATGGGCCCATGGAGTGCAGGTGTGTGGGGTCTGGGGGGAGCTGGGGCGAGTGGGCAGCTGCCCTAGGTGCGAGGGTCCTGTGGGGGGTGGGGAGTGTGTGGGCAGCTGCGCCGTCAGCCACCCCAGCAAGAGTTTGTGGGTGCACCTCAGGGGCTACTTTGGGAGCAGATTGTTGGATGAGCCTTGGAATGTCTGCCTAGAGATGACTGCAGAGAAGGGGCCGTTCCTCACTTGCTGCTGCTGTGCGCCCACTCGGTTGGGGGCAGCGCTTGCTCACAGCGCTGGTCTCAGTCCCTTCGAGAGGAACCCAGAATGAGGAGTGGCCACCTGCAGGGGGTGCCCTCTGGGCCCTCCTTTCCCTGGGCTTTTGGTGCCCTGACCCTGCATCCACAGGGGTTACTGTCACATGAGGGAGACCTGGGGACCAGCGCCTGTCAAACCAAACAATTGCCACTACTGATTAGCCGGGGACTGGGGGGGGGGGGGCAGGGGCGGGGACCAGGCTGAGACTGAAGGCCACCGCGAAGGTACTGGGGTGATTGCAGAGGGCTGGAGGATTAGTGGAAGGGCAGAGGCCTGTGCTAGGATGGAAGCTGGGGCTCCCTGCACCCTGAGTCCACTTCCCCAGGGAAGGCTCGTTTGGAGAGCTGCTGTTTTGATCAGAACTTTGACAAAGGGGGAAGACTGAGTCTGGGAGTCAGGATTTGAAGCTGGTGCTGGGAACAAAGGCCCCCTAGGTATTGGGGACCTTCTCCCGCAAGGTCTCGCCCGTGCCAGCCTTCAGGGGGTTGGAGCTGCTTCTCCTGAGTTGTAGCTCGTGGGCCCCTCACCCCTACCCACAGCTAACCTGCCCTGGTGGGTGGGCCCCCAGGAGTCTGTGTGACCCCCACTCCTTGAGAGCCCAGAACTATCGTGCAGGGAGGGACCGGCCCCCAGAACTCCCGGTTACTCTGTGGGAGAGTGGGCCAGAGCAGGAACAAGCTTAGCCCCTCCCAGCCTGCGGGGCTGTGGGGTATGGGGGT